CGCCGCGGGTTCCGTGATGGCGGGACGGGGAGGAAGACGGGGTCAGGGCAGGGCAGGGCAGGGCCTTGAAAGTTGGCGTAAAGAGGCCAGTCAAGGGCACGTGGCGATGGTGGTCATCTCGATGATGGCCATGCCATGCCATGCGGTATGCCATGTCCACGATACGATGGATGAACCGAGCATGGCATGCATGGCGGGGATGAGCATGAGCAGGTTCGGGGAAGAGGGGAGAGCTGGAACTGGCCTGGGCTGTCACTGGGCTGAGATGGGGCCAAAAAAGAGAATGTGTGTATAATTAGCCCTCCGATGATGCTATTTCGAACAGATGGGCCATGGGTCATGGGAGGGGGGAGTCGGGGAGGAGGAATATCAAGTTGGGGTTCGGTTGCAACGTGGATGGAGGTGTAGTGGGCTCAAGACGGAAGATGTGCGTGATGGATGTGGCAGGATGATGGGACGAAAAGTCACGAAATGGGACTGATTATGGCAAGAGGTTCGCATTGAAGTGACGGATGTGGAATGGAGTATGGAGTTTGGGATGAGCGGGAATGCCGTCGTGCCATCGGGTGTGGTGTGGTAAAACAGGCACGGCAGTCGTCTTCAGACGTTAGTCGTCTCAAGTCAGCCTTAGCAACCCCAGTTGGGAAGGCAGCCAACTGCCAAGCACAACCTATGGGAAGTCACCAATTGGACCAATTGATACTGGTTATTACTTCCTAATACTATCAAGTGCAGTCAGACGGACGATGAGGTAATCATGCAAGGTACCGCGGCTTACCTTAGCATCGTGTGTTAAGCCCAAGGTATATCCGTACTCCGTACCTACTTCGTACATAGGTAGGGTGCCAGGTACTGCGTAACGTACCTTACTACGGACACGTATGAATGGCGGAATAAGGTAGCGTGCCGACATCAATAGCATCACCCGTGTTATACCTACCTTACCTTACGGCTTGGCCTTGCGTCCCTCCTCACAGTGAACTCACGCAGTAAGGCGACTCTAGAGTCTAGACAGAAGCGAATGGCACTAGGTAGTGTAACTTTCCCCCATGTCAGGATTCGCCTTGGCCCGCCCAGATGATGCCTGGCGATTGCGACTCATAAATGGGGTTTTAAGATGTGCTAAGACCGACCCTAACGCGCCTTTGCCGAAAGCTGGGCTGACGGAGAGTTGAGGTTGGTTCCATTTCCCCCAATGACTTCCCAGCTCGTTGTCTATCCTAGCTGGGGACTCTTCTTAACTCAGCTCAACTATTGAATACTCTCTCTCTCGGTTCACCAAGGCTTCCCGAACAACCTAACCAATCTCCCCCCCACCCTTACCTTACTCGAGTGACAGCAACCTTCCCCGTTGCGTGCAAGGCACCAGGCACAGGGCCACACTACAGCGAGAAAGCTGCCTTCACTGCAACCATAGTCTGCTAGGGTATACAGTAAGTCACGGCAGTCCCGGGGGTGAACTTGTCAGAGGCTCTTATAGCTATACGGCACACCCAGGGCAAAGACAGGGCAGGGCCGCCGCCAGAACCTGGGGACCAGGGATTGACACTAAAATTGGGCGTGGACATCGAGTGGGCATGGGCAAGCTTCGGCGGAGTAAGGCCCGTCAAGGCCGGCCTCTTTTTTTTTTCTTCTTTTTTTTTTTTTTTTTGGTGAGTTGAGTTTACTGAGTTGTAGACTTTATTGTTGTCTGTTGCTTTTTTTCTCCTTCGCGAGTTCCATTTCCCTTCTCTCATTTCGGAGGCTCCTCTCTCGGAGCATCGTCTCTGAAATTCCCCGTGCTGTTTCCTTCTCCTATCCCCGTCTAGGTTCTTCTTCGGGGAAAAAAGAATGGGGGAAAGTGGGGGATTGGGACCGTGAGCACACTGGGAGGCGGTTTGAATGCGGTGGGAATTTCCATCTCGCTTTTACGACTGCAAGGAGCGTTGCCTCACAGACGACACCCAAGAAGCAATAAAAAAATCGAGGGGAAACTCAATTCAGTAGGTAGAATTGCTACCCGTCCAATGGTCACTGGTCACACACACGGTAGCCAGCCGCGCCATGCGGAGGAAGAATGCCAAGACAAAGGGGAAACGGGGGGTAATGGGCAGAAGGAAAGAAAAACAGAGGGGATCCGTAACATGAAGAAAAAGGAAGCAAAAAGAATCCGGCAGTGGTGGAAAACCCGAGTGGTGGAGTCGAAGCAAATACCGGCGGCCGGCAGCTTCAAATCTTGTGCCGCGGCCTAGGCCATGCCATGCCATGCCATGCCATGCCATGACCATTAATGACAAGCCTTTCTTTGCCCTTCTACCCTCCTTGGATAATGATGGTCCAATCCCACGATAGGTACCCGCAAAAAGAAAGGAAATGTCCAGACCGCACCTCAACCTCGAGTTACTGCGTCTTATGTGACATTCCCTACAAATAATACAGTCCGGCTTCCGTCATCGTACCCACGATACCTTCTCTCACCCGGGCGGGAAATCACAGGAATCCAGATTTCAGGGCCCCCAGCCAGTGCTCACCTCACCCTCGATACTGGGAATCGGGACGCTGGAACAGTGGACGCCGCAACGGGATCCTCTTGCAGTCATTACGGATGCCGCCTATCTCTGATGACACTGTCGCAGTCCAGGCCGACGTGCACTAGCACCGCGTCCGTGAGTTGCTGCAAGCAAGTATCCGCACCCATTCCCATCCGCACAACAACCGGGGGGCAGCTATCTCTCCACCGCGCTGCGACCTCCCGTCGTCGACGTCGACTCAAGACTTCAACCCATATCCACCCACTTACTGCTTGGTGGAGTGAAAGATGGTGGAGAGCGCGATGAGCCTAGCGAGGTCTATGTATTTCACTTTCAACTTCTCATCAACCCATACCCATACACCCAGGGCCACCACCTTGGCGTCCGTGTCGGTGTCTCCAAAGTCCCAGAGTCAGGGCAGAGAGGCTCATCTGCCCACGCTGTCAAGGGTTGTTGCAAACTCACGCCTTCTCCGCCTTGTCTCGTCAGACGACCAGCACCTGAATCGCCGCGCATTAGAATCGTCGTGAAGAAGGTTTAGCACCATGCCTCATCAGTAAATGATCACAGCCGATGATAGGAGTTTGACAAACGCAACAAGCACCGTTGCTAGTGTACTTCGTGCATCTGACGAGACCCGCATCGCATTCGCACGAGACTAGCCCGGAGTTGCTGGAATGCCCAGATATCGGGTTCCCGCTCGTAGTTGTCGCATTTCGAGATTATTCCCCATGCACTCCGCCGCCCGCGTAGAAGACGACGTGAGCACTGAGTCGTTGTCGTTCGGGTTCCTCATGCTGGGACTCTGCGGATATGGGATTTGACGACAAGTCATTAGGAACAGCCGGCGGGGATATCGGAGAGTGGGACGGTACGAGACGAAACGAAATGAGATGAGCGCAAAGTCGAGCTATCGAGCTTCGTCCACTCCGAAGCCGTCGCTCTCACCGTCAATGTCACGACGACTAGACTCCAAAGCCACCCCGAGCCACGTTGCAGAACAGTAGAACCTGGGGCTTGGCGACAAGGCTGTTTGTTGTTCTGATTCACTGGTTCACTGGCGAGCTCAGAGCTCCAAACTCAGAGCTGAGACCGAGGAATGCGAACTCGGAATGAGTGTCTGTTCCCACGCCCACAAACTGGATCCAGAGCCACGGATCGTAAAATAACGTTCAGTGACACGGAGCGCGGTGAGGTAAAGCAAGCTTGTTGCGACGTCTCACAAGGCTCAGGCGCAGGGACTTTTTGGCCTCCCGCTCGTCGGATACTAAGGTTAGGTGCTCCATAGTGTAGATAGACAGTTGGCGGCGGGCGAATAGATGAGACCGGCCGATGCAATTCATTTCAAAAGTCAGATTGCCTTAGTGGGCGGGTATTCGGCGGTATGGTAAGGGTAGGCAATTTGATGAAAAACAATAACAGTAAGGCAGAGGCTGCTGCAGAGGCCGTCAAGGTTGACCGTCGTCGTGATCAATGGTGGCAGTGTTCGCAGAGGGTCCCTCTACAGGCAAGGTACTGTATCCATACTCCGTACATCGAAGTTTCCAGGTTGGAAGAGCAATTCGTTGGCCGCTCGACCAGGGTGATGCTCGTTGGTCGGGGCGACTCGTATATCCGTGTCCGAGGAGCTGGAAGGGTTCAGTGAAGTCTGTGAAGGGGGAACGTCCCGACTGGACCGGTGGCCTGGGATGGCATGGGATACGTACCTGAGTACCTTCTCACCGTTCGGATGCCACCTTACCTAATATCGTCCGATCGGCACCTTCAGCCTGGGCTCCCCTGGCGGTGCCTGGGAAGTGGCATGGGCCCCGCTCTTTCCTGGCTCTTTTCGGGATTAGTGGTTAAAGTGGATAAAGGAATAAGATCCACTTGAGAAATAGGGAACCCGTCACTCTTTACGCATAAATGAATACGCAGTACCTATGAACCTTGGACCCTCCACACCTCACGCCCAAAACTGCCTAAACCCAATCCAATGTAGGTATGCGAACAACGCACCAAAGCTCGGCACTGGTACCCAAAAGTGCCCACGGCGTTGCAACGGTGCCGGGGGAGAGACCGAGTGAGGACCTCAGAGCGGTTGAGAGTCCCCGTCGCGGACGACCATCGAAACGGAGCAGGCCCGCTGACGACCGAATACCACTCTGGTTCCTTCCGGAGAGGTGGGCGGACAAAGTTGCAACGAGGTCAAGGACCAAGACTCGAAAGAGGCACACACGCACCGAAAGGGACAGATGCCCAGAGAGAAAGAGGACAGAATGGTACGTCAGTGGTAAGACGATGGCCCTGCCGAGCGGAGGCTCTTACAAGATACCAGTCCCCCCGGGCCTCGGCCCTTGAGTCCTTTGATTTGATTTCTAGATCGCACCATCTCCGGATCCCGCGCATCTGAAGCATCGGCAGACGTCTACCAGGTGCCTCGCGTCATGTCCCGCCGTGCCGTGCCCACCGCAGTCCATAGCCAGATCATATTCTTCCATGATCCATCCCATGGCGGGCGACATGGCCCCGGTCTTCACTTCGGCTTCTAGTGGACGGAATCACAGATACGCATCGAGAGCCTCCATGAAGCTAGGGATCATACGGACCAACGCGGACTACGGACAAATTCGCAAACTCGTTAGCTTGACACAGTCCCGCGATGGGACCATCATCATCCATGACCTTGAATTATCGTGGCCGATACCGCCATGCACGACAGAATCTTCTTCCAAGGGAATCCACCCCTTTTTGCTGCTTCAGTATCAGCATGCCAGGCAAGCCTTTGATTACAAGCTTGTCAGTGTCGTCTGCTTGCGAGATATCCGCACCATGATGTAGCAGGGGCCTTTTTTTTGGAATTGCCTCATTTGGTTTGGTCGCTGCCCACAAGAACCCCCCGTGCCAAATCTTCCACTGCTCAGAAGTCTTCCTGGGATCCTGGAAGCTGGCACTGGCAGACAACGATATCCGCACACACCGCAACTGCAAAACCCGGGCACGTCTTGGCAGCCATGGACCAGCAGCGATGCCCGTTTGCCAACTTGTCGTCAGGTCCTTGAGCTTTCATCTCGTCTTCGGCTTCATCGTCTCCACAAGTGCACGCACATCAACGGTTCCGTTCCAAGTCATGGTCTCACGCTTGAGCCAGTGCAAGGTGGTACCTTTGTCTTGGACGGTATCCATCGCCCTCATCTACCATGAAACTTGTTGTTGAAGACTTCAAAGTTCACGGACGCCAGATACCGTTGGTGGCATTCAGGGTGCCAAGCAGCGATTCAACGAAATATCTCGCCCCCTGCCCCCTTTCACTTCCCTCGTCTTAGAAAAGTTGGGGATTCAGGACCGGCACTCGAAAGGCTTGTCGAGGGAAGCCCTGCTCGCACTGCAGCCGCACCAACCAACCCGCTTGACCTGCTCGTCCCGTCGCTGGTGTGACAAGCCATGCCGAGCAATCGGCCACCCGTCTGTCACCTGGAATTGACATGGCCTCGTCGCACAAAGTGGCAATTTGGTGCTTTTTGCTCAAGGCCGGGAAACTCTGTCATCGCACGGCCGCTAGCGCTCGCCGACCTTGAGAAGACGACGCATCCCGGGACCTCCCTGTCCAACGGCTTTCAAGCCTGCTTGCCTCTAATCTTGACCGAATATCTCGAGTCCTCGTTGGTCAGATGCGCACCAAGGCCGCCCACAATTCAGACCGAGCTTCTCCCATCGCCGCAATGCAAGTCCATCGCAGTGGCGAAGACCACAGCCACGCGTATTGTGCGCGGTCGGGCGAGGGCACAAATGCAGTCGCACATGGTCGAATCCTGCAACTTCTAGACATGCAAAGGCTTGCGCAACAGTGATGCTAGCAGCTTAGCAGCCTCGGCGATGAAAAGTTGTAACTTCAGCTCCACTTGACTTGGCTTCTAATCACCGTGGAGACACATGACTCTGGGGTGATTGGAAGATTCTGAGACTTCTGAGGGCAACCTTCATCACCGCAAGGGGCACTGGAACCGAGGGCCTTGACTTCGAATGGCAGGTAAAGGCGAGTCCGTTACGGCTGCAACCCTCGAGTCCTATTCATAGCCGCCCGAGGTCCACAGTGCCGAGGGTGACGAGAATGGGCTCAGCGGACCGGTCACCGACGACCAGAGTCGGGGAGAGAAACCTACGTTGGCTTCAACGGCGCGGATCGCGATCCATGCCATGTCCTCTTCAGCCCATGTTCTTCGCCCGTACTGCATGTCACTTGGCATCGACAGAAGCGCCGCCGCACTCGTCCGCACTTGTCTCGAATTCTAGACGCGATACAACACCAAACCATCCGCACCCACCACATTCGGCCTTTGCTTGAAGAGCCTCAGATGCGCCCATGCCCGGCCCTGGTCACCGGCCCCCCGGTGCTGTCTCTGGCGGCACAGGCGTGTTCACATGGCCGCTCCCCGAAACTGCATCTATTTCCGCCGCCGACGCGGCTACCTGCTCGTGGCTGCGGCTCTCCGTCGACTTGACACAGACCAACGATTGCTCTCCGAAAGGCGGGTGACGGTGGATCTGATGCTATTTTCTGCTTGTACGCATCGAATAGAGTGACTGTAAGCAGGCAATGCAGGCTGAAGTTTCGATCCTCCCAAGACTCTTGAAAGACATTTCACGTTATACAAACAGATCCGACGACGGCTTTGAAGTCATCACCGGGTAATCGCTGTTTGTCGGGCGGCGGCCAGCGTCTGCACCGTGACTCGAGTGGCCACAGCCGCAGCCGCAGCAGCCGCATCCCGGAGTGTGGCTGCTCTCGGTCTACCGTGTGGCCCCCTTTGGCTTTTACACGCCCTAAATTCGTAACTGCAGCACTGCTTATGTGTTTGGACGAGGTGGCGGGATGTAGAAGCCGGGAAAGCAAAGGGGAAATAAGCAAGTTGTCCCAGGCCTGCAAATGCAGTATCCATGTCTGCGTACAGATCACACAAACACACGCACAAACTCCTTGTTTTGCAGATCGCGGGTTGGACAAGAGTTGCGTTGCGTTGCGTTGGTTCTGCCAATGTCATCTCGTACGGGCGTACGTACGAACCAACCGACTGTACTGAACTGCCGTTCTCCAATTTCCCCGTTGTCGAGGAGGCAATCAGAATCAATCTTGCATCTGCGCACACCAACTTCTAGACACCAGCTTTTCTGCTTTCTATCCCTCCTCTCTCCTTGCTCCAAGGCGTCGTCACTCCTTGCTAGCGCATTGGGCATCCTAGGATCATTTTGCAGTTTGATGCCGGCTTCGAGTACCGGCTGCATCCACTGTTTGTCAGACAGGTCAGGTTGGCAGGTCCAACGACAACGATAGATGAGCCGAGACTCGAGACTCGAACGAGATTATCGACAGTCCCTGACTGACGCGGACTGCAATCAGCATGCACCTGCAATCCCAAGGCATGGCAACTGAGACACGCCAAAAGTCCCGCCTCGCTGGATCAAGGTGGATTGGAGATTTGCCAAGACTCTTGGAGGGTGAAGGTGATGGGCAACACGCAGGTACGCCAGTTAGCGAACTGGTAGCCACACGCATGCCGGGGTTGCTGTCGACTGGGCAAGTTGTAACGAAGAGATTCTTGCGCGCGCGCGCGTCTGCAGGGGTGCGTGGAACGGCAAGTTTGGACGAAGTGCTCGCTGAGCCATGGCCCCACGGTTGCCGCGCTGTCGGAACCTCTTGGATCTCCCTAGCGCGTCTGGCTGGCGATTCAGAGATCTCTGGGAAGCAGAACCAGGTATTCCCTGACAGGCTCTTGTGTCAAGTTGATGGCCCGACGGGGCGCCGGTAGATTTGGCGCCCTTCTGTCTTTCCCACCCGCTCCCTGCCACACCGAACACGCCCAGTTGTCCTCCGGTTCGACTCAGGTACCTTGGACTTGAACAACGAGACTTCGGGTAGCCCGTGAACAGCTGTTGCAACGGCTGGCGAGTGGCTTGCAGACTTACCCAGTTGTGTACCGAGCGAGTCTCTCTTCGGACTTGCCTGCGATCAACATCAACGGCAGCCCGATCTTGAAGCAAGTCACCCTGTCCCGGTCGATGGTGGTGCTGTGGTAGTATGTCTTGCCTCTGTCTCTCATGCCTTGGCTTCCTCGGAAAGCTGTACGCTACCTATGCGACGGAGTAATTCATACGGACTCTCAGTATTATCGTACAGACTAAGAAGTACGAACACAGACGCAGCGTAAGCCAGCCAGCCCGCCGTCCCAACCAACAAACAGTCAGCCTCTAGGGCGAGGCTCGCGAGCAAAGCAGGGAAAGCAACAAGCAGTAACATGCATTGACGGATGTGGCGTCCGCGAACGCTCCTGCGTCTCATGGATGGGCCCGATGGACCTTGATGAGCCTGATACCTGACGCCCATCACCCGTTCCTCTCATCTTGGAGCTGTTCTTTGGGATCAACACAGGCATGACACCATTCCCCAACCCGGTCGGAACAACATTTCGAGCAAAGTTTGGGAAACGGCATGCACATCAAAGTCCACCACGATTGCTCCTGTCAAATGGCCTTGTCGTCTCTTCTCCTGAAATGCATGCAGCAGTGCCGGAAAGAAGTCCACGGGTGGCGTTACTGTATGACAGGGCACGCCGCACACGGACGGCCGTCGCGGAGATGGATTCCCACTCTTCTGCGCGACGAAATTGGACAGGACCCGGCGACCGCACGACACGATCCACACACCCGTGGGTTGGCCCAACCCACACGCAGCATTGCTCACTTACGTTTGGCCCCATGGGTTGGGTTGCTGTCGGTTTGCTGTCCCGATGACGAGAGCAAAGGGCACCGGGGCCGGGGCAAGCCTTAGCCAAGGCAAGGGCAAGGTGAGGCGAGACGAGGCGACGCGTCCGAGAGTCAAAGACTTGAGAGGAGGGAAGTGAAAGGACCGGTCCATCATGAGATTTCCAAGAAGAAAACACACCGACAAAAAAGCAACAGAGTGACAACCGACATGTCTTTTGGTGTTACGTCTGTGGCCATTGTGCCCCATTTTTTCGCTATCTCACTCGGTTTCTGGTATGAGAAGCTGGTCAATTGGTCATGCTGGATGTCACTTTGAACGGGCGGTAACTCTTTGCAAAGCAAGACCATTCCTGTTATTCGTTCATCTCACCGTTTTGGATTTTCGAATATCTGAACATCAGATGGCAGCAGGCTTCCCTCGGTCTGAGGTTCCTGCGACCGAGGACATCCCCGAGCGGCAGAGAGTTTGGCATTGCCAGGCCCCCGACATCACCGACAACGCCGCGCCGCCGAGTCCGGATCTTGTGATTTTGACTTTGGGGGTCCATCCTTACAAATATTCTACACGTATGGTACGGGATAGATGGGCTAGGCATTTTTCCGTACTGCAGTATAACGACTGTAGACTCTGGTGACGTGAGAAGCATCAAACGGTACACTAGCGTGTAGCTGGGCCGTTAGTCCCCCTCGCTTTTTCACTCCGAGTACAGTCTCGTCTCGTCTCGTGATGTCTCTCTCTCTCTCTGTGCGTGTGTCTTTTACCCATCATCAGCCACGGACCGATTCCTGCATCACAGTCATCACGCAAGGCGGCCGCGAAGGAGCGAAACGAAGCGGATGCGATGATGCGAAAGTGGGATCCCCTAATTCCCCATCCGCATCACCAGCATGTAAGGTACATCACTCCCCCCCAAACCAAACCCCTGCTTCACGCGCTCGCATCGCTCCGCGGGGGAAGAGGAAGAGGGAGATGACGGCTGGCTGCTCTGTCACTCTGGCAGGCCTGGCCTGATGAGGGGCCTACGATCACCCGCCCGTCGTCGTCGCCGCCGCCGCCGCCCCCTGTACGGATGACGAGGAAGATCCCTTTTTTCTGATGTTGCGTCGATTTGCTTGCTCTTCGAGTCTCTTCCCGCACCCAGCCCAACGCTGATGTGAACGACCAACGACTGACCCCGGTCCGCAAGCGTACCCCGGTATAGGATGAAACCACGGTTCGTATGCCCTTCCCCTCCGCTCTCACCCTGGCCAGAGGATGCCAGATGGAAGCCTTCTACGGCCAAATCTGAGCACGGACATTTAGCAGCAGCAGGTAGTTGTTGTCTTGTCTGCAGTGTGTGCTGCACGCAACGCAACGCAGCTTCAGCGCATGAGGAGCGAGGTGCAGTGCAGTGCATTCAGCGGAAGGAGGATCGTGGAGTGTTGTCGTTGGTGTTGTGTATTAGTCCCACGCCCCCTTATTGAAGGTCAAGTGGACGATTGTCGCTGCTGGCGAGAAGTGAGTAAAAACCCCGACGGCGACGGCGCCTATGTAATGTGCGTATGACTTGTATGTAGGCATGTATGTATGTATGTATGTATGTATGTGTGCATGTATGCTTGCCTGTGTGTGTGAGTGTGATGGATTTCCCTCCGATGAAGGAACGTTTCTGGTTCGTTGGTTCCTGGAGAACTGAGAGATCTTCACTGCTCGTTACCATATCCTATCGTTCTAGGCTCGGTCGGTCAGCCTCCTTGTGTTTGGGGGTGTGTGTGTGTGTGTGTGTGTTCCGAGCTCCGTTCTCCCCATTCTCACTTCTCTCTCTGTCTCCCCCGCTCACGATGCAAGGGGGGAAGTGGAGGGGCACGGTGTGCAAACTTGAAGAGAAGAGCATAACTCGACGGCTTCTTAATTTCTGAATCTTGCGGGGAGAGAGCAAGAGAGTGCGAGTGACGTTTGGTTTAGGGGGTACGGATAGATGAACCACGCATATGCCGTCATTGTCACCCGAAGCGTAGTAAAGCAGAAGAGCCAAAAGAAGAGTTGCAGTGGTTGACTGCTTCTTGTTTACCCGTACCCCGTATCCCTTTCCTCCTGTTCTGAGGGTAATTACAAAACTTTTCGGCACACGAGTGATTGGTCCTTGCATGAACTTGTCTCTCTTGACTGTCTGTGTGTACGGATAGAAACAGGACAGGACAGGACAGGATCAGACAGCCACGGCTCGACTTTTTTTTTTTTGAGATGATCGGCAGGCTCGGTACTCCGTAGCTTGTTGGGAATATGGAAATCGTTCCCGAGGCGAGTGCGTGTGTGAGAGCACTCAGGCACTCACTCGGACGGTAGTGTAGACCAGATGGCAGAGGAAGGGCCCAGCGAATTCAGGTACCGAGACACCACACCGCAGATACAAGTGCCATCATCCATGGCGAGGCAAGCAAGCAAGCAGCAGCTTTGGATCATGTATGGATGGATGGAGTGAGGAAGAGGTTACACCGTGACCCCACCACGAAATGGGCGGGAAGCATCGCGCGCACCATTGCCCTCTCCCAAGACTACTCCTCCAAGACAACCAAGAGGTAAGACGAAAAGGAAAAAAGCTCGGAGGAGGATGAGCCCTTTCAGCCTACGGCTCGTTCGGGCAGCTTTCCAACCTGACCTGACCTTACCCAGCACCAGTGCGGCACCACCACATCGACGCATCGCATCGCTCGCTGCAACGCTACCGCTCTTTTCTTAGCTTTTCGCTTCTCATGCTACCCTTGCTTGGTACCCCGGTACGAAGTATAGCTCTCGTCGAATGTGGTGCCTCTTCTCGGAATTCCCTGATGGAACAACACGCACATACACGCGCGCACACACACGTTCACAAGATCACACCAAAGAGTACTCTGTACTTTCCAAAACTCTCGGCATATACCTCACTGCAACACACATTCAACATGGTAAAACGAAGTACCTCATAAAATTGGTCGAACACACAAGCTGGAGAAGAGCTTCCCGTCGTTCCTGGGGACCGGGTGGCCCATGTAAGCGGCCCTGACGCCCGTCGTTCGCAACCTCTCCCCACGTCCATCACGGCATTGACGAGCGTGGCACCTCTTCAGCCTGGCATAGATTGGAAATGACCGGGACTTTTTTTCGACAACAGCTAAGCTAAGCTAGCCTAGTGTCCGATTCTCAAACACAGCTTCTCTCTCTCTCTTTTGTTGCTTTCTTCTTCATGTCTCTCTTGGTCCGATCGAATCAAAATGCACGTGGAGATTGGAATCTCGCGGACGTGCCGGACAAGGCCCGCAGCGCCAGGTCAGGCACCCCCCTCCCTCCCCGGAGACTTCAATATCCCAAGTGCCGTGCTGTCAGAAGAGAAGCTACAGGAAAACTAATTAACCAGCTTTTCCGTTCGGTCACGTACATTTGGCATATTACACACACGCCGTAGACTAATCTGACCGCCTTCTTGTCCGCCGCCAAACTCGTTCGATCATTCCGGGGGGAGGGTTTGGCTCCAGCACGTCACCCAAGGCGACTTGGAGTAATAACCTCAGTTTGCGTTTGCCCGTTGGCTGGTTAGCTTAGTTAGCTCTATCTCTCTTTTCCCATCTTAAAATCTTTCGATAGCGGTAGTGCGCCGCGCCAAACCGTGAGCTTAAATCACGCCGCCTCATCACGCCAGATCAGACACATTAATCACACAGACGGCGCCTTCGTTGGAACACTTGGAAGCTCGTTTTCGTTGTTCTACGCGAGCACTAGAAGGCCGCTACCGCTACGTTGTAATCCACTTTTGCTCTTGCTCGAGACCACTAAGTTTCCTGCAACACGGCAAACAGGGCGACTTGGTCAAGGGACCGATGTACACAAGATTGGAAGTGGACCGCAGCCCAAAGTATCCGTACCCGGCGACAGCTTCTGGCAGACG